AAATGATATCGGACGGTCGTATGTTTGGTAATATGGGCCCTACAGCCCATAAACAGCAAACTGGCTAGCCAAACAAAACAGTTGCGCATGTGCGAGAGACCACTAAGGATTACGTAAGCGTCCAAATTCTTTGAATTGGGCCTATGGGCTCTTCAATGAATCTGGACACAACATGGAGGTCTCTTCTCTGAACTCCAGCTCCACTGAGTTGTGGAGGTGGGCCCCACGAATCTTCCCCTTGTTACTCGACTTTTGCTGAACTTTGCCAGTTGAAATGGGCCCAATAAACTTGTTGTCATCTGTGGGAGAGTGGGACCCATTTGAGGTGGATTGACAAGTTTCCAGCCGTTGGATCAGGTGATTGATGATGGGGTATGATTGACTGAATTATTCATCGGCCCATACCATACCCTCATCTGGATTGGGTTTGTTTGTTAATTTTTGGATGGTCATTAATGAAGGCTCAAGCCATCTTTAATTAACTACTATATTGGGCCTCGCTTCCCTCCTCTATTTTTGTGCCAAATATATATATATATATATATATATATAGTATAGACATTTGCTATTTGGCCAAATATTGCGCATGATCTGAAATTGTATTTGATTATTCTTCCGGTGCATGAGTCTCTATAATATAGTGATCATACACTGTCTTCTATTGCATGTCATAACAATAAAAACATAATTTTAATGTTGTATCAAGGCCCACTCTCTTGTATTGACAACTCATATTATTTGCACACATATTTTGCACGTGGTTAGTCTAGAATGATTTATTTAGATTATGTGAAGTTTCTCTTCTTCTAAATTTTTTTAAAATAGTACACCAATTCTTAATATTATTTTTCATTTTTTTTTTCTTTTCGAATGACTTTAAACTACATATTTTATAAAATTTTGATAATAAAAAGAAATGGTTTTTGCTACTCTCTCAGACATTTTTTCTATTCATGTAAAAAAATTCTTACTTAATAAGTAGAGTTATGAATCTATTTAATTTACTTAATTTGAAAAACGTAAATTCTCCAATTTAACTTTGTTTTAAGACATGAAACAAAAATAGCATTGTAATCCCAAAGACATGAAATTGCAATTACCAGTATTACAAAAAAAAAGTTTTTTCTTTCTTTTTTTTCTTTTTATTTTTGTAAACTTTACTTTTGCAAGGGTTTAACCTCTAAGTAGGACAAAATGAGTGTATCCATTACTTACTTACCAAAATAAAATAAAAAATATATGCTGCAATTAAAATTCAAAGAAAATTATTTTAAAATTTTAATTTCAATCAAAGCAGTGTGAGGAATCCAACATATCTGGCAAAAATACTGGGCTTAATAAACTAGGCATCCAGATGACGGCCCAATCATGCGCCAAAGTTTTGAAGTCCAAAATGGACAGGCCTAATTAAGTATATCACATTTAAACCATTGTGTTGGGCCGATTTAGGCCTGTTATCCGAAAAAAACTTTCTGGCTCCCGTTGTGCATGGGTGCATTCAGACCGTTCGTGTAATATACGTAATTAGACACATGATAATGAACGGTTGGATGAGACCATTGCACGGTGCAACGAGCGCAAAAAAATTTTCTTTTATTATTTTCGAAATAAAGCAGAAAAAAAGAAAGAAAGAAAAAAGAATCTTTCAAAATATATATATATAAATAAAAAATAAATATCAAAGTTGAATCAAAACGATCAAAAAGTGGCTGAGCTGTTTTGACCATTTTGAATTGACCGTTTAGGTTGGCATTCCTTTGTTTTCAAAATTGTTGATCATCAAAATGTCCTCACAAACACCTATAAATATGGATCCATATGACAAATTTTCCACTTTTCGGATCCAACCTGTTGACTAGCAAAGCCAGTCTAATGTTTGGGCGGGGTCTACGCCTCAAAATCAGCGACCATTTAGTATACTTTGACTCCAAACCCCATTTCACAAGCTTGTGTAGAAAAATGAATGGAAAGAAATGAGTGGAAATGCAGTACTTTTCAATAGTTTAAATTTTTGGATAAATGGACAAGTACTCACTTGTTACAATTGATATTTTAATTCTTGATTCGGTATCACGCCAAGTGTTCGATTGAAAATATATTCGTAACGAAAACTTTGTGAATTAGATAAGAGTTTAAACGTTTAGGAAAATGGACAAACACCCGTTACAAGACTTAAGATCCTTGTCCCCATTGATATAAGTAGGAGGTCCCAAAAATTAGCAAATCATGCATCTTACTCCGCAAAGCATATGCGCCATCAAGAAGTCAAATATGAACTAAAGTGCTGCCATTGTTATTTTATTTATTTATTTATCCTTTTGCGCTTTATTTAGAGGTATCTTTAAATATATGCAAGAGTTATTCAGTCTTAGATGAATATATATATATAGTAGTACATGAAAAGTCTACAAGAATGTACAAGCAAAGCCCAAAGCATGGACCCAGCCCACGAATAGAGGACGGGCCCCATCAACAAAGCATACAAAACCCAATCACAAAACAGGGCCTACCCATCAATAGCAAACACATTTCTAGTCTAGGGCGCTCTAGACTACCCATGTCTAAGCCGTGGTTCAGTCCGGTGAGAGAGCAAATTAGGGCATACCACATTCCTAACTCAATCAATCTGGTGGCTCCGGTGGTGGTCGGATGAACGACGTAGGTAGATTCCACTCAAGAAATATGCTACTTGTTTGATTCAGTTTCAAAATTTTATAGATTTTCATACCACTGAGTTTATAAAGTGTTGAGTGTATAGGGTTGTTATTTATAATTATTTTAAAATAAGGTTAAGTGTAAAAAAATCTCTCATAATGTGTAATTACTCTCCTATTGTTAGGAAAATTCCCCTACTTTTTTAAAATTTTGCAAATAAGCACAAATCATAATTTTGGCAGTAAAATTAATAAATTAACCTTACTTTATCATTAACAAAAATAAAAATAAAAGGCAAAAGGCAAAATGTCAAAATTAAACTTAAAGTCATATTTTCCTTCTCAATCTGCTATAACAAAACAACATACCCTATATAATTATATGCGCGCGCGCACACACACATACTTCGTCTCTTTCTGATATATCTCTCTTCAATCTCAATTCTCATGTCTCACAATGTATATGTACGTACATGTAATTCAAGCACTCACAAACCTTATCTTTTATTCCAACTAGTAAGGAATGGTATGTTGTATTCCTACACAAAGTGAGTTTTCTTTTATTTTTTATTTTTCCATTTTCAATTCTATTTAAGAGAACAATTTCAAATATAGAGTAAATTCAATGCATGCGAATGCAAGTTGATGACCTCCTTTAGCTTTCAAATAACTGGCCGGAATTAAATATGTTTCGATATGTATACATAGTACAGGACAAAACTATGCTTTGGTAAGTACTTTGTTATATTACGACACAAAAAAAAAAAAAAAGGAAGATAAATTATACAGTACATATTTCCTCTGCACCTTAAAGTTGAACAAATTATACTTTATTTATTTATTTTTATTTTTTTTAGTTGGTATTCACACCTTGATCTTCATTTAGGAACCTTTTAAGAAGTAAGAGGGCTGATACCACTAGGTTACTGATTCGTTGGGAACAAATTATACTACTCTATACTTTATTACTTTAACCTACCTACTCAAGTCAGTTTGCTGAAAAAGTGATTTTGAATGTGATAAGTCAATAATGTCCTTATATTTTAGAATAATGATACTCACACCATAGAGTTAAAGTAAATTGTCTAACCCAATGATTTTTGATTAGCTATTTATATCAAATATAAGTAAGTGGAAAATCTCACTTCCTTATTTGTTACTAAATTATAAAGGATATGTCTAGCAATTCACTAACAAGGTGCAACAATTATTTTTCTATATTATAATAATATACTATATCTGTCCCAAAATAAATATCCCTTTATAAAAATTGAACTTTTTAAGAGAAAAATTTTTAATATTTATTTATTGTATTGTTAGTGGATGAATTACCAAATTTATTAATAATGGGTCAATATGGACAGTTTACTTTTATAAGTTCAAATGAAGAAGGTTACGTATTCAAATAGAACTTATTTTTGGACATTCAAAAATGAACAGAGAGTATTACATTTTACATAAGCAAAGAATAAAATTGTTACTTTATAAAATATGGTCAACACGTTGGATTTGGAAAAAAAAGCTTCAAGAGTGTTATTAAGTATGTAAAATTTTAAATGAGATTAAAGTAATAAATACATAAAAATTTACCATGTGTAATTTGTGCAAATCTTAAAAAAGAGGTCGGTACAATTTCTCCTGTCAAAGCTTCACGTGAATCCTAGGTGCAGAATTCGATTGTATGATGCAACGAAACGTGATATCCATCAACGGCCGTGAATGGGTCTTGAAAAGATCATGTGGTGTTAGAATAAGGATATAAAACATTATGATACATGAAAAGTCACACCCGCAACAAAACAAACGCAAGAACAAAGTCCATGTTTTTCTTTCTATATTCTCCTTCTCCATGAGAAGAAGAAAAGAATCCCATGTGACGCTTTCTACTTGTGTATGGAAGAGGGTTTCAATTTCAAACTTTGACACTCACAACAGCTTCCGGTTCCCGGTAAAGTCCGATGCCCTCCATTTCTGTGGGTCCCACACCCCCTCACTGCAATACGACTTTTGCATTAAAAGCTGTTTAAAGGTCAACTCTACCTCACTGGCTCCAACTAATACTAACTCTTTCTCTCTTTACATTTTTACCAAGTCATCAATCCAACGGCTCATTACTACCTTTTGACTTTCTGCCTCCATCTCTACTCTCCCCCTCTCTCTTCCATCATTCCACACAGTCTCCAACCCGTTCACCTCCTAAACCGGACCCACCATAAAGAGTCGGTCAATGCCCAAACCACTTTCTCTCTCTATAATTTTTTATCTTAGAGCCACGTGGAAGGATTTCATTGGTTTTGTCGTTTGACGGCAATAGACATAAAGGACAATTCAGTCATCCAATCCTCCTGCATTTAGAGGGCATCAGTTTGACTCCAAATACAACCCCCTTTCCTCTTCTTTCTTTCATCTCTCTCAAACTATCTCTCTATCTCCCTCTCTCTACGCTGTTCTTGTTGTTTCATGTTGGTGTAGAGATATGGCCGTTAAGCTAATGATGGGTTTCAGAGACAGTGGTTTTGGTGCCAAGATGGAGGAGAATGCGGTGGTGCAAGAAGCGGCCAACGCCGGTCTACAGAGCGTTGAGAATCTCATCAGATTGCTTTCACATCAAACCCAACAACAACAACAACAACAACAACAGCAACTGAAGTACCAAGACGCTACTTCAAACTCTAAATCCGTTATGAACGGCGGCGACGCCGATTACAGGGCGGTCGCCGACGTCGCCGTTAACAAGTTCAAGAAGTTCATCTCCTTGCTCGATCGGACCAGAACCGGTCACGCCCGTTTCCGAAGAGGTCCTGTATCTCCTCCTCCTCAACAGCAACACAAAGCCCTAGAACCTGAGCCGTTAGTTCAAGCGACGGTCAATCATCATCACACGGTGGAGGATAAACAGGCTTCGATTTCTAGGGTTTATTGTCCCACTCCGATTCAGCGCTTACCTCCTCTGCCCCACAACCATCACCAGTTGGTCAAAAACGGATCCGTCGATAGAAAGGAGACCACGATCAATTTTGCTGCTGCGTCGCCGCCGGTTTCGGCGGCGAATTCGTTCATGTCGTCGTTGACCGGCGACACCGACAGCCTGCAACCGTCGATGTCGTCGGGGTTCCAGATAACGAATCTGTCGCAGGCGTCGTCGGCCGGCCTGCCGCCGTTGTCGTCGTCGTCGTTGAAGAGGAAGTGCAGCTCCATGGACGATGCTGCTGCCAAGTGCGGCGGCTCTTCCGGACGATGCCATTGTTCCAAGAAAAGGTAGGTCCACCACCACCAACTCTCTCCTCTGTTTTTATGACACTATCAGAGCCGTTCATTCATCTGACTCTAAATATTGTTTGTTTTGATTCAATCAGGAAATCAAGGGTGAAGAGAGTTGTCAGAATTCCGGCTATCAGCATGAAGAACGCCGACATACCACCTGACGATTTCTCTTGGAGGAAGTACGGTCAGAAACCCATCAAAGGCTCACCTCATCCCAGGTTAGTCAATAACAAATACTAGTAGAAAAAAAAAAAAATATATAGTTTAAAATTAAAATTTAATTTTTATTTATTTATTATCAATTCGAATGAAACGATTTTAAACGGTTGAATTTGAATTGTTTTTAGGGGTTATTACAAGTGCAGTAGTGTAAGAGGTTGTCCAGCGAGGAAACATGTTGAGAGAGCAGTGGATGATCCGACGATGCTGGTGGTTACCTACGAGGGCGATCACAACCATTCACATTCGATCACGGAGGCAACAGCTGCCCTAGTTCTCCAATCGTCTTAGTCAATGCTATGATTATTCTTATCATCAAAGGGTCCAAAAGCAATCGGAAAGCGATGTGTCATCACAGCCGTTGAAAAAGCTTACAAGAAATGGACAAATCAATATCTCTGCAGAATTTGGGTGTGTGTCTCAGTGGTCAAAGAAGAGGGTTGGCTCTGTCTCCAAGAAGATTAGTGGGGGATGCTTCCTCAGCTACGTCAAGACAAAAATTAGTGGGGTCCACTCTGTTTTACCAAAAACACTTCTGTTTTCTCTCTCTTCCGTTGAAAAACTTTTGATTGTTGTGTTTAGAAAAATGTTAAAGTAAAGAGAAGAAAAAGATGAGACTCTCTGTGGATTTGGTGGGAATTGAATCATATATTTGCAAGTAGTGCGGTGTTTCTTTTTATTTATTATTATTTTATATTATTTACTTAGACTCTTGATGTATTATTATTACTCAGTAAATGCTTCATGGTATATTGGTATACACGTTGGTGGGTCTCTTGCTAGGAATTCCACTATTACTTGTTCCATTTTCCACTCAAACAAACACCTATATATATATATATATATAAACACAGAATGGAATATATAGTTGCGTGGTCAATATGAAGATGATTAAAGAATTAGTCAACTTGGCTATAAATTAACGAGAACGTGTCGTGTATGGGACGGTTGACAAAATTTTTATATATAATAATTATTCGTGTGTATATATAATTATATATATATATATAACCCCACTAATTTAGTTGAAACGAGCATAATGTAAGTGATATATATATCACTTACATATATATATATATTCGTGTTTGTAAAGATTTGCAAAGTCAAAATAGGCGGGTGGGACTGATTATAGGTTCCTTCGTGGTGGTCCCTACTTTATTTCAAAATTTTTAAATGACAAATAGTCGCACATAGTAACGTAATTTGGCAGTGGACAATTGACATTAAACTACTTTAGTTTTTCAACGTGATTTATTAGCCGGAGGAAATCTAGAGGATTGCACATGTCGTTCCTTTAAAAACCTACATATATTTCTTGTGTTTACTTTCCTTTTTCTAGTCAAAATAAACTTGTAGTAATTCTCTTTTTCTATTGTGCAAATGATAAAAACGAGACATAAGGTGTGGAAGAAAAAAACAGGTCATACATTATCTAGAAGAACATAGATTTTCCTTCATGTTATTTAGACGAGGAAGATGAGAGTATTTGGATGTCATTGTGTTGGACTCTTTAAACTCATTCGAAGGAGAGCCGTGTTCAATTCTCATTTCTTTGTAATTTAAAAGGAAGAAAATGAAGAAATACGTTGAATTCTTACTCGCTTTTGTGAGTTATGCATTAAAATATTTTTTGTGTGTCATATTGTGATTGACTGAGAACACAGTCTTTAGGCACAGACTCACAATAGGACCATTGGGGTGGATGATTTTTTATTTTTACATTTTATACTTAAAAATTTTGAAAGTTTGTGAAGATGTCCCCACTGGATTTTTTTCATTTTACACATCAAAATTTGAGAATTTATGAAGATGCCCCCACTAAAATTACAATTCGCCCCCACCAGAATTTTTTTATTTTTTATTACATTTTATATTTCAAAATTTTGATAATTTATGAAATAACCCTACCGAAATCACAAAAATAAACCCACTATATAAGTTTGCCCCAACAAATTAAAAGGTTGCCCCCTCACAAAATTTTTGGGTCCGTCATTGATAGTCGCGGATCATATTTTGTTGATCCTGGGTGTCATTTTGAGGTTTGCTCTTTTAATGTCAAAAGCTTGTCAAGCTTGTCCTTGTATGATTAAGTCTTCTGGTATGATCAAGGGGCATTACAGTCATTTTCTCATTATGGTAGGCTTTTTACAAGAGTACTACATTCATTACAGTCTCAATAAAGAAGGTTCATTATGCTGTCAAGGTCTGTCACATGCTAAAAAAGCTTAGTTTGCTGGTTCACCTCTAATAGCCTAATTCTATTCACTCTCAGGGGTAGTTTTGTTTATATATATATAAGTGTGAACTTATTGTATATGCTTGAGATACTGCATTGTTCTACATAAGTCAATTTCAGGATCAAATTGCATATATACATGCTGCTGCAAACATATTTTTGGTCTAAGTGACATGTGGTCTCATAAAGGGTACTTCAGTAATCTTACCTACATCCTCAAGGGTATCTCAGTCAATTCAGTTGGCAGAGATAATCTAAATCCCCTGTATGAAGGTGCATTGTAAGACATTTCTGAAAGTTCATGTACAATTATGTTCATGAGAATGTACAATTCATGTACCACTGACACGTGCATAGTGGTCCTTGTGAGATAGTATGGTAACAACCTTGCTTCATCCCTAAGCTTAAGTTTACAGAAATATTTTCTGATGTGTGTATATGTGAGGTAAATGTGAAATGAGAGTGCACTTGAAGACAATTTGTGTGCTGATTCAAAGGGTATTGTGGTCCTTTCATCACTGTAAATATCTGAGTATTTTCGTATCAAATGATTGGTTGATGATGATTTATCCATTCTAGGGCAGCAAGATGACAGTATAAATATACTGTAATAGCAGTTGCAAAAAGTGTGCGCAAATATTAAGCCTTTTGAGCTACATGTGAGTTGCTGTGCTTGAAGCTATTCGAGGGGCAAGAATGAGAGAGGTTCTTTGAGGTTTTGAATGATGATTTAAGTAGAGATTCATCTTTGAATTCAGTAATGAAAGTGTATCCCACAGTTGTTCAAAGAAGGCTAAGTTGAGACAGTTTTTCTAGTGCAAATGTGGGGTTGAGGAGGTCCAAAGTTGTTGTGGTCATTTATGGAGTTGGAGCAAGGTTTGAGCAAGTGTATTTGTCCATTTCAGAACTGTAGAAGGTACTTTAATGTTCACAAGTGAGCTGCAGTAAGTTTTCATGTCTTAAACCTTTTTAAAACTTGATTTTCTGGTTTATGACTTTGAATCTGAGCTTACCATGTTAAAATCATGCTATACATTGACTATCCATCATCTGAGCATGTTTGATTCAATGATTTGAAGTTAATCAAGTTGAGACTTGACCAAGAAAGTGACCATTTCAGTTTCTGGTGTGGTGAACCTCAGTAATTAGGGTTTTGAGCCTAATTTCTGTGATTTGTGAACTGAACCTAATATATCATATTTACATCATTGTGCTTGACATTTGAGTATTTATATAATGATGATTCAAGATTGTGAGAGCATTGTTCAGGCCTAAGACATTGCAGAATTCCATTTATACCTTAAGACCAGTGATATATCAATTGCAGCAAAACAGAACCTGTTGTGTGCTATTGGTTACTGTTTTGAGCTACATTGTTTCATCCTTGCTTGTGTATCTTGACTATTCATCTGAGCAAGTGTTAATCATTGATTTGAAGCTGTGGGAGTCATTGATTGAGGAGAATTTGAAGTATTGTAAGGTTGTGTTTGTTATACCTTGAAAAGTTAGGGTTTAGCCTTTAAATTGATGATTTGCACATAAAATGTTTATATCTTACTATACTTATGTTTATCATCTATTGAGCAAGATTGTCTAGCTATATCAAGACTGTGGGAACCAAGTTGAACTTCAATTTTAGGTAAAATTCCAGTTTTACCCTTTAGAGCCTGAAGATAGGGTTTTGGCTATTGAAGGTCGTGGAAGTGAAGTTTGGGTTCTTGTTGAAGCTGCATTGCAGAATGACACCTTGACCCTTGAAATCTAAGGTTTGTTGAAGTTAAGCCTTTTGGGTGTCTATATTGTGTTACCTTGCTATTTGAACTGTCCTCATCAATTGAGCAAGTGTACTTTGGTGATACAAGGCTGTGAAAGTCAATTGCAGGTCTGAATTGAAACTGCATTGTGAAGTGACTATTCTACCCTCAGTTTTGGGGTTTAAGCCTGTTGAGTACTAATGCTGTGTTACCTTACTTATCTAATTGTGTACTTCATTCAAGGAATTGTATTTGGCTAAGATAAGGCTGTGGAAACCTAGTTTGAGCTACCATTGAAGCTACATTGAAATTTGACAGTAATATCCCATTGATTGCAGAGTTATGTAAACTAGGGTTTTTAGTTATGTGTACTTAAAGCTGTATATTTATTCTTATCTTGTGTAACATCTTAAGTAAGATGTACTTGGAGTGTTGACACCTTTATTTTTATGTTGAGAGAGCTGTGAGAGTTCATTGAGTCCAAGTAAGGGTGCTTATGATAAGGGGAGTGCTTGTGAGCACTGTGCTGAGTTAGTGTGTGTGTAGAGGTTATGAAAATTAGGATTTCAACTTGTGCATGGGTGTGTGTGCAGAGTGTGAGACAGCTGAATGTGTAACTACTTACTTACAACTAGTGAAAATTATATTGGTTGAGGTCAAAAACTAAGATTTTTTTCCTATTGAGAGAGTTTTACTTGTAAACCTTATGTATTTGTGTTTGACTTCTCTTATGCTCTTTTAAGTGTACTTTGAATTGAGGAGGAGAATCAAGCAAAGTGAGTTGAAATTCATTTAGACCAATTCACCCTCCTCTTCCTCTTGATCTAACATATTTATCTTTTCCATCCATGTCCCGGATCATATTATGTTGGAAATGGCACTTTGTATACGGCCGTTTGTGATGCAATTTAATGTGGAGGTATTATTTGTTTTTAATACATTTATCTTTTCCATCCATTTCCCGGATCATATTATGTTGGAAATGGCACTTTGTATACGGCCGTTTGTGATGCAATTTAATGTGGAGGTATTATTTGTTTTTAATACATTGAGTAGGTAAGTTTGGTGTAGATTAAAATCTGAACCCACCCACTTACTAATTAAATCACACACAAAAGTCAAACCTACATAAAAATTGAACCACTTATGTTTTGATTATTCTCCACGACCCTACACAAGGTTAGTGTTGTGCTTATTTAAGAAATAAAAACACATTTAGAAGTCAACGACTTCTACTATTCTTATCATTCCAAAACCAAACACTGCACTGTTATGTTACTATATCTCACAAACTCAAAAAAATCAGGTAAGCATGATTCTAGATGTACATTAATATGTAATAATAACATGTTACACAATTAAAAAATTAAATAAAGTTGATACAATTAATTATGTAACGATTATTATAATAGTCGTAATATATTATCACATAATTCGTGTAATATTGGCCGAACTCTTTTCTCTTCCACATTTGATTCTGTGATTTGTTAATCGATTCAAGGGCTTTAGTATTGCCTTTTGCGATGTAATTTCACATAGTGGTGTTCTTCTTCTTCTTCTTCTTTTTAAATTTTAAATTTTTTTATTTATTTAATACATTGCGCCGATAAATGTGGGGTGGAATAAAAGGTGAACCTACCCACATAATAATAAAACGATGAGGTCAACCACCTACAAGAAATTGGAACCACTAATGTTGTTTAATTACTTTGTTTGACCATGTGCATTACAAGTAGGTTGAGGTTGCTTATTTAAGAATTGCATTTAAAG